CATCCTCGACTCGCATCACCACCTCTATGTAGAAGCCACCAGAACTGGAGCTGAAGCCCTTCCCTCCTCATTTGGAGTATGCTTTTCTCCGGGAGGGGAACAAGCTTCCAGTCATCATCAGCTCGACCCTCACACCCGAGCAGAACACCAGACTGGTGGCCCTGTTGAAGCAGTATGAGCGAGCTTTGGCATGGAATATCACTGATATTCGAGGGATCAGTCCTTCCTTCTGTTCGCACCGGATATTGCTAGAGGATGAGATTCAGCCGGTGAGACAGCCCCAGTGGAGATTGACACCGAACCTGGAGATTGTGGTTCGAGCAGAGATTATTAAGCTGATGGACGCTGGAATCATCTTCGCCATTTCTGACAGCGAGTGGGTCAGTCCCACTCAGGTGGTGCCTAAGAAGGGTGGGATGATCATGGTTCCCAATGAGAAGAATGAGCTCATTCCGATGCGCACGGTGACCAGGTACCGTGTCTGCATCGACTATCGTCGCCTCAACAACGCCACCCGCAAGGATCACTTCCTGCTGCCGTTCATTGACCATATGTTAGAGAGGTTGGCGCCGGCGGGGCACATAGGGGTGGGAAACGGTGCGGTTGCGGTTAACTGAACCGCAATTTGCGGTTAACTGCAACCGCAAAACACCCATATTAGCCAACCGCGACCGCATCCCTCACGGTTAGCGGTTAACCAAAAATCGCAGAACGCGGTTAGCGGTGAATCGCGGTTTATGGTTGTAAAAACCGCAACAACCGAAACAGTATACGAAACCGCGGTTAAGCATTCTAACCGACAATTAACCGCGAACTAACCGCAAAAAATTTATGGAAAAAAACACAGCAGCTACTGTTTTGTCTATTTTCACTTCCATCCAGCCCCTGCATCTGTCTGCATATCCAAATAACACAATCCACAAATGCACACGCCAGACGACCAGCGACGGCGGCGGGCGGATGGCAGCGGCGCAGCGCCGCAGCGAGAAGATGGGAAGGGTCAAAGCTCGACTCGAAGGGTTTTCAGTTGCTGGTGGGAAGGGACGAAACGAAGGGTCGAAGGGGATTTTCGATTTTTGTTTCGTCAAATCAAAACGACGGCAGGGAGAAGAGGGGGAGGGGCCGGGTTGGGTTTGGGCTGCTGCCTGCTGGGCTGGGGGTCAACTTTGGGTTGGGCTGGGGGTCAATTATGGGCTGGGTCTGGGTCGCGGTTAGCCTTGCGGTTATATGGATTTGCGGTTTTGGTTGCGGTTAAACCGCAAACTGCAAAACAACCCATATCTCCAACCGCGACTGCAAAATAGGCAAAATATGCGGTTTGCGGTTAACCAATAACCGCGCGATTTCGGTGCGGTTATCGGTTTAACAGCGAAACGGCAACCGTTTTCCCAGCCCTAGGGGCACAAGTTCTACTGCTTCCTAGATGGGATGTACGGATATTTTCAGATTCCCATAGCACCGGAAGACCAGGCGAAGACCACCTTCACCTACCCTTTTGGCACATTTGCTTACCGGAGGATCCCATTCGGGCTTTGCAACGCCCCAGCCACATTCAAGCAGTGTATGCTTGCCATCTTCGACCGTCTGGTCGGAGAAATCATGGAGGTGTTTATGGACGATTTTTTGGTTTATGGAGACTCATTCTCTCACTGTCTCCATAACCTGGAACTCGTCCTAAAAAGGTGTGAGGAGACGAACCTGGCGCTAAGTTGGGAGAAGTGCCACTTCATGGTTCGCGAAGCCATAGTTTTGGGGCATACGATCTCCAAGATGGGGATAGAGGTGGACAGAGCCAAAATCGAGACAATCAACAAGCTGCCTCCTCCCAAATTATGTCCTTCTTCTTTCCAACTTTGATAGCTTCTTCGTCAAGTAATTTAAACGTGTAGAGTTGGCCATTTGTGATCATACACAATGGAGTTCATGATGAAGATTCTTGATGGTAATGAAATGTTACCAATCATTTTGGAATAACTATAATACTGTGTTATTAAGTTTATCATGAGTTGATAATCCCTTCCATAAGTCCTATTACAAATTTACAATGTAATAATATGTATGATGGATGCTTTTTTTTACCAGAGATATGACAATAGAATATAAGAAATAAATCGACCCCTACAAATCTCTTCCCACCCAAGCAACAAAATCAAATAAAAGCAACTCTAAACTAGACAGAGAAAGGGCTTTTCTTGCCACACTATGGGCAGCCCGATTGGCAGTTCTAGGAACTACACAAATTTCTAAGCCTATGTCTAGAGCAGCGATCATCTGATAGCAGTCTCTGAGCACCAGGCCTCCAGTCACATCTAATTCCCTCCCTTTGATTAGCTGGCGAATGACGACTTCAGAATCCTCTTCTAGTATGACTCTGTACGGTTTGCAAATCTCTTGATGTTGAAGTCCAATAGCGAGATGCATTCGGTCGTCTTCAAATTTCAACACCAAACCTATAGCGCTACCTTGAGAGGAATGGACTGCAGCGTCGAAGTTGAGTTTGAGGTGATCGAGAGGAGGAGAAGACCAAGACGGGGCACTGATGGGATGAATAGTGGTGGGGGAGGAGGAATAAATGGGCGGGCGGAATAGAATTCTTGTACTTGCCGAGCAAATTGAGCAGCGAGTACGGATGCCAGTAGTTGATTATCCTCGAAAACTACTATATTGCGGGATTTCCAGATTCTTCATAGTAAACAAACAACTTGTAGAATCTGATGTGGCTTGTACATAGAATACACAATTCTCCACCACCAAGTATTAAAATTTTCTAGTGCGGCGTGATTAAAGGTATTATCCAACTCTACCATTTGCCATAGTCATGTAGCTAATGAACAGGTAAAGAATAGGTGTTCTAGTGTCTCGATTTGAAGACGACGTACTAAACAAAAGTCTGAAACAAGTACGTCTCTTACTTTACGAATAGTCATAACAAGTATGATTACTCTTAAAGCTTGCCATATAAAAAACAAAGTTTAGGAGGAATTTGTAGCTGACATGTTTTTTTTACCATAATCCCCCATCCATTACCTGAGCTACACTCTTTGCACCATGTGATAAAGCTAAGTGGTGTCCTTTATGATATTCTGTTTTCACTGGTTACTCACCATTAGGAGTATAATGCCAGACTATCATATCCAGGTGGTTCACTTGGCTGTGTCTACTGTCTAGCAAGCCGAAGAGACCAAATGAGAATTCTGGATCTAAAATTTCCCAATGAGTGAAGTAGAAGAGATAGGTATATCTGTATATGAGCAAGAGAATTCAATTTCACAATAATTACAGTTGTGAAGATGGGTATGGTAGCAGGAGGATGAATTCATGGATTCCTATCCTGACACCAAATTGAGGGATAATGATTTTTTAATTGATTTGGAAATAGGTATGGTAGCATTGATCTCATCCTGACAACAAACTGAGGGAGATTTTTTTAATTGAAAAAGAAAGCAGTCGCCCTGCCTCTGGACGATGAACGAGGTCGACGATAAATTAGCTGCTGGCGATAGATTCCGGTGAACGTGCTCTACTATCCCGAGCTAGACAAATATTGAACAAAAACAATTGATCTCTGTACTCCCCTTTCTTGAGAGATGATGGACAGGCCAGAGAAAACAAGTTAATGTTAATATAGTGAAAACAAATCCGACGGGATCATTGGGTACTGGGGCTCACCGGTGCCATTGATTAAAATTAGGGGACTGAGGCTCCGATTCAAATGGACTATTCATGTCCATTCAATTGGTTAAATACAACCATAGGTTCCAATAAAAGGAAACCAAACTGGGAGTTATCTCACTACCGGATATCATATTGTTGGATCGGCGAGCGCGAGACGGTCGGACTTTTCTCCGATGATCACTCCTGTGAAGAAACCCTAATTTCCCAATCTAAGACCAAGTGAGAGAATCGAGTAATGGAATTGTTAATTTTAACAAATGGAAAATGGTTTGGTTCAGATATAAAATACTGTTTAATAAAACGACTCTGAGCGGGCTTGAGCCCTATACGATGTAACTAAAGTTGAAGTGGAATGGGCCTGCTGTTTAAGCCCACTTCACTGTATCTTCTTCTTCCTAAAGAAGCCGAGCCTTCTTCCCTGAACTCTGTTTCTGCAAAACAGAGTAAGACAACAAGAACAATACCAACAACAAAGTCAAACTCACTCACACACACAAACCAGATTTTTACGTGGTATCCGATATTGGGAGAATGAGGATCCCAATATCGACTAATCCACGGTAGAAGACTCTCTTCTTGAGATCTTCTACGTAAGCACTATTTCAGTGTTTTTGTGTTTTACAGAACTTGGTGAACTCCTAATTTGCTCCCTGCAAATCTACCAAGCTACACCCTCAGTGTTTAACCCTCCTGATCAAACACTTCGATTTTTCCCAGCTAATCTCCTCAACTAGCTCTACTGATCACTCTTCCCAAAAGACTCTAGCTTCACAAGCACTCTCTTTTGTTCTCACAAATTAGAAGGGAAAAATTGCTACGTGACTCTCTTCGGCTACTTGTATATATATCACTCTTCCATTTGAGCCGTTGAAGAATAATCTCTTCTTACCAAGTTTGTTCCACTTCCTTTGGTAAGTTTGCTGTTCTTTCCAATTTTGCATTCCTTTGAATTCCTCTGATTTGAGCCCGTAATTCCTTTCCTTTTATGCTGCTCATCCTCACTGAATGCTAACATCGATCTGCTTCTCCTAACATTCTCCCCCTAAGCATGTCATTCGCTCCTGCTTCTGCTGTTTCCACATAATCTGCACATCTCAACAAACAGTTGGTGCAGCCTGTTCCAAGATATTTCAACTAATCAAGGTGCAAAGAAAACTAAGTCCATTTTATTGATATTTCAAACGAAAACACACCAGACACATGACTCAGACATGGATTAGCAGTCAACCCTTATTCGACTCGAGGACACAGAACCACAGTAAAAGGAAAAGCTAACACTAGAACCAGACTACAGCAATGGACTCCCCCTAAACCAATTGCCCCATCTAAAACTCATACTCTGGAGGGGACTCATAATCGGACACTCCATCTTCATCATGTGAGCTGCTTGGTTCAGCTTTCTTAGCTAATTCAATTTGTGCCTTGCAGTATTCTAGACTCAGGAGCTCCTCACTTTTGAAGGATAGAATTTTCTGATCCAAGGCTACTGATGCAGCATCTAGTAGTGCATAGACCAGCTGATTGGCAGAGACAGCAGTATGCTCTCCCCCTAAGCGAATGACAGGCTTTCTCCTGCCAACAGAAGCATCGACACGAACTAGAACATGCTGTGCACGCAAATCCTCACGGATATCACAAACAACGATCTTGTCAGAAAGATCAATGCCAAGATTGTAGAGGAAGCGAGTAATCTGAGGACCAAAGGGAAGTGGACCAGAGTAGTTCTCATCTCCAAACTTAATCATGTGAGCAAACATGAGTGAGGAGAAATTGAGAGGAATCCGATCACGTGCATTGGCCATGATCCAGACATCCGAGGGATGAGCTAACTCAGAACTCGACACACTGCGAGAAAGCAGAACACGAGTAATGAAGAAGTGCATCACTTTAAACAGATCTGCGAGTCGGCCAGCTGAGAGCATGTTGGAGAAACGGCGGCCAATGTTGTGAGTAAGAGATTCTAAGGCGGACCCATAATCAAAACGAATCTCAGCAAGATCATCATTGGTGGCAGCAGAGGATCCCTCACAGGGAAGTCCTAGGATTTCAGCCAGCAATGAGGGTGTGACCAGTATCTCATGGTGATACACGACAGTAGTGAAGGAGGCAGGACTTGGGCCAGGGCCTCTCTTCAGACTGGCATAAAACATCCTCACGGCCTCGGGACACTGACTGAACCTCCGATTCTCAAATAGAGAATCCCACCCAAGATTGGTAATAAGCCCAGAGATGTCTAGGCCATACCTCTGGAAGGAAGAAGGATGAATAGTGAATGATGGATAGAGAGGACGGTTGCGAAAATGATTGAGGTAGCGCTCATAGCGCGCAGGATTGTGAAACCCCTTGTTGTTGAAGGTGACTGCAGGATGCAGTTGAAAGTTGATGGGAGCCATTTAAAGAACAAGGGATGAATGGTATCGTGAGTAGGGTAAAGGATGAAGAGGAGAACTAAGGGGTACTACCTATATAAGATCAGCTTCTGAAGGTAAAAAGGGAAAGGATAAGATCTTAAGGAAGGAAGAATCATTGTGATTAATCAATCAGTGCTGATTCTAAGGAATCAGAGCAATCTCTTCCTGAGAGAATATGCCAAGTTCTCTACGAATAATTAGGAACTTTTCAGTCCCTAAAGGCTTAGTAAAGATATCGGCCCACTGGAGATCAGTTTTAATAAATTGAAGATGAATCTGGCCATCTTGAACTAGATCTCTAATGAAATAATACCGAACTTCTATATGCTTAGTTCTAGAGTGCTGAATTGGATTTTTGGTCATATTAACAGCACTTGTGTTGTCACACATGACTGGTAGAGAACCAAATTGAATCCCATAATCAATAAGCTGATATTTCATCCAGAGAAGTTGTGTGAACAGAACCCTGCTGCTACATACTCTGCTTCTGCAGTAGAAAGAGCCACAATGTTCTGTTTCTTGCTGAACCAGGAAACTAGAGAAGAACCTAGAAAGTGACAAGCTCCTGAGGTGATTTTTCTGTCTACTGAACAGCCAACATAGTCAGAGTCGCTGTAGCTAATTAGTTCCAGACTAGAATCACTAGAATACCAGAGTCCTAAGCTAGGAGTTCCAACTAGATATCTAAAGATCCTTTTGATGGCAGAGTAATGACTTTCTTTAGGACAGCTTTGGAACCGAGCACTCACACAGACACTATACATGATATCTGGCCTGCTAGCAGTCAGATATAATAGAGACCCAATCATTCCCCTAAACAGACGACTGTCTATAGGTTTTCCAGATTCATCCTTAGTAAGTTTGATTGAGGAACCCATAGGAGTGGAAGCAGCTTTTAAATTTGTAAAACCAAAACGTTTTAGCATGTTGTTCAAATATTTTGTTTGACTGATAAAGATCCCCTTCCCTGTTTGTTGAATTTGCAATCCTAGAAAGAAATTTAATTCACCCATGAGGCTCATTTCAAAGGCTCCTTTCATTGATGTTTCAAAGTTTTTACACATTTCCTGATTTGAGGATCCAAAAATTATATCATCTACATACACTTGTACTAGCAGAATGTGTTCTCCTTGATTTTTTATAAACAAGGTTTTGTCTACTTGACCCCTACGAAAACCATCTTTGATTAAGAACTGACTTAGTTTATCATACCAAGCTCGAGGAGCCTGTTTTAGACCATACAAGGCTTTATTCAACTTATAAACATAATCAGGATGTTCAGGATCTTCAAAACCAGGGGGTTGTTCAACATACACCTCTTCTTTTAAATCACCATTTAGAAAAGCACTTTTTACATCCATTTGGTATAATTTAAAGCCTTTTGAGGCAGCAAAGGCACACAGTAGTCTGATTGCCTCCAATCTAGCTACAGGTGCGAAGGTTTCATCAAAGTCTATACCTTCTTCTTGATTATAACCCTGTGCAACCAATCTAGATTTATTTCTTATGATCATTCCAATTTCATCAGATTTGTTTCTGTAAACCCACTTAGTTCCTATGATAGTTCGGTTCTTAGGTCTAGGAACCAAGTCCCAGACTCTGGTTCTTTCAAACTGATGCATTTCTTCATGCATTGATGCATTCCAGAACTCATCCTCTAAAGCCTCATCAATGTTCTTAGGTTCTATTAATGATATGAAAGCAGTATGTTCAGGATAGGTTTTAGATCGCGTGACCATACCTTGGTTTAAGTCTCCAATCACTAGAGATGGTGGATGCCGCTTTTGGATGTGCAGAGGAGCTTCCTTCTGGCATATGTTTTCAGGACTTGCATTTTGATCTGCCTCAATGCCTGTTGTAGCTTCTGCAACTTCTTTAGTTTGACTTATATTGAGTCCAAAGTCTTCATCATCTTCTAGAGTTTCTGCACACTTACTGGTAGACTCATCAAATACCACATGAATGGACTCCTCAACTCTGAGGGTCCTTTTATTATACACACGATAGGCCTTGCTATTTACAGAGTACCCTAGAAAGATAGCTTCATCTGATTTTGAATCAAACTTCCCTAACTGATCTTTGGTGTTTAGAGTAAAGCATTTGCATCCAAATGGATGAAAATACCCTAGATTAGGTTTTCTGTTCTTCCAAAGTTCATAGGGTGTTTTATTCAATTTTGATCTGATTAGAGCTCTGTTTGTTATGTAACAGGCAGTGTTGATAGCTTCACCCCAGAAATGTTTTGGTACCCCATAATCATTTAGCATAGTTCTGCCTATTTCGATGAGTGTTCTGTTTTTCCTCTCAACAACACCATTTTGCTGAGGTGTTCTAGGTGCAGAGAAGTTGTGTGTAATCCCTTTCTCATTATAGAATTGCTCAAAGTTTTCTGACACAAATTCACCACCATGGTCACTTCTGATACTAACAATTTTTGTTTGTTTCTCATTTTCAACTCGAGCAAAGTAGTTTTTAAATTCAAACAGAGCCTCATCTTTGCTAGTGAGAAAGAGTACCCAAGTGTATCTTGAGTAATCATCCACAATTACAAAAGCATAATACTTTCCTCCTAGACTTTTTATGTTGCTGGGTCCAAATAAATCAAGATGAAGCAACTCTAAAGGTCTGTTAGTGGATATAACTGTCTTTGATTTGAAAGAAGTCCTAGAATGTTTTCCTTTAGCACATGCATCACAAAAGAATTCCTTCTTGCTATTAATTTTGGGAATACCTCTGACCAACTCAAGGTTTACTAGCTTAGACAGGATACCTATACTGACATGACCTAGTCTACGATGCCATTCTACCTGATCATTTTTATCAACTAAGATTAAACAGGTTTCATTGAAGGCATCTTTGTCATTTAGATCAATTGTGAAAAGCTTACCCTTTCGTTTGCCAGTGAAAAGTATTTTACCACTAGAGATTTCTTCAACAAAACATTTTTCAGGTTCAAATATTACTCTGTTCTTAATTCCACACATTTGACTTATTGACAGCAGGTTATGTTTAAGATCTTTAACAAGCATGGCATTGTTTATTGATGGACTCAATCCTACTTGCCCTTTTCCTAGGATTTCTGTGCTGAAATTATCACCAAAGAACACTTTACCTTTCTTTCCTAGGATCAGATTTGTAAAAAGCCTTCTATCTCCAGTCATATGGTGTGAGCATCCACTATCCAGAATCCAAACGCTGTCTGCCATGCTCACTTGGAGACAGGTCTGCAAAAACAATTTTGTTTATTTGTTTTTAGGTATCCAAACTAATTTGGTTACCCTTCCTAATTTAAATTCTTTTGAGCAGTTTTGACTTGAATGTCCTACTTCATGGCAGTTAAAGCAGTTCAAGGTTTTTACTCGATTTTCTTTAGCTAAACGCTTTCTACATTCAGCAATATGATGTCCAATTTTATGACAGTAGTGACACTCTGAATTCCTGAACCTTTGAGGATATCTATAGTTTTTATTTAGATTTATGCTCGAGACCTTTTTCACTTTACATTCAGTTTTCAACTTTTCAATTTCAGTATCTGCTGATTCCAGCTTACTTCTTAGCTCATTATTTTCAGTCACAGCTTTTACAAGTTTACTTTCTGCATCATTTTTCTCTAATTTCAAGGTTAAGTTTTCTTTTAACAGTTCTTCATATTTTGACTTGATTAGTACATGCTTTTGTTTTACCCTTAAAAACTCGTTTTGAATATCTAGAATTGTCTCATCTAACAGTTCATCTTCACTACAACAATCAGAGTAGTAGAGATTTACCTGTGTTTCGCTTTCCTCAATGTCTCTTTTATCAATCGCCATATAAGCTTCTTGTTTGACATCATCCTCATCTTCGTCGTCTTCACTGCAGCTCCATGTGGCTGCAAACGCCTTCTCTTTCTTCAGCAAGGGGCAATCTGCCCTGATATGTCCAGATTTCCCGCACTTGAAGCATCCTGTTTGTGACTGATTTTTCTCTGAACTTGTTCCTTCTTTCTTGTTCTTCAAACCAAACCTGCTTGGTCTTCTGAATTCCCTCTCATTTTCTCCATCTCTTGCTCTGCTTACGAAGTTTCCTCGTCTCTTTTCTTTTCTCATTCTCAGCAGTTTGGCTACATGCTTGCTGAGCATTGCCAATTCATCATCCTCCATTTCTTCAAGACAGTCCAAATCTTCTTCCTGTGTTACTGCCTTGAAAGCTATCCCTTTCTTTTCCTTTCGAGGCTCTTCTACCTCTTCTCTCTTCAATTTTTCTTCATGTGTTACCAGGGATCCAATTAGTTCATCTAAGCTCAACCTGGTAAGATCTTTGGACTCTTCGATGGCGGTTACTTTAGGTGTCCAGCGCTTAGGCAGAGCCCAGAGAACCTTCCTCACTAAATCCGCGCTTGCATATTCTACCTCCAGATTTCTTAGACTGTTAACAATTGTTTTAAATCGCTCAACCATTTCCCTGATTGACTCTTCTGGCTTCATGATGAACGACTCAAACTCTTGCTTCAGACTGTTAATCCGGGAAATCTTCACATGCGATGTGCCCTCGTGAGCTATCTGAAGTTTATCCCAGATTTCCTTGGCTGTTTTACATCCCGACACCCTGTGATATTCTTCGGGACCCAAAGCACAGTACATCAGGTTGGTAGCTTTTGAATTCATCTGAAAATTCTTCTTGTCAGCCTCAGTCCATTTTCCACGAGCTTCCTTCACTTCAAGGGGACCGTCCATTACTATGTTCCACAGATCAGGATCTGTCGAACCTATGAATAACTCCATACGATTGCGCCAGTACCCGTAATGAACCCCTTCAAATCTTGGTGGTCTTGTTTGGGAGAAACCATCCGCCATGAAAATTCCAGTAGCTGACCCCGAGCTCATCTTCTCTGCAGACAATTACGCCTCTGATGCAGGAGCCGGGCTCTGATACCACGTGTTGGATCGGCGAGCGCGAGACGGTCGGACTTTTCTCGGATGATCACTCCTGTGAAGAAACCCTAA